GTTGCAAAATTGTGATAATATTTTTCGAAATAATTATACTTGATAAGAATTTGCACGATATGCATCAAGGGATCGAATGTGGTACTCTATCCTCCTTACGATGCTGATGCGACTTTCAGAATTGACAGCTCTCATATTTAAAGTTGTACGTTTATTTTGGAAATAACACAAAGATGAATACATAAAAATTTAGAAATATTGATATTTAAATAAATTGCTCAATGTTGCATAAAATTTAGTTTAAATAAAGATCAACGCTTACACGATAATTCTTACATATTCCGAAATTCTGTTCGAAACATTTTTTAGTCAAACTATTCTTTAAAATTGCAAATTAAAGATTAAAATTCTATTTTTCAGAACAAGATAAACTGTAATTAAAATTATTTGATAGATTATGTAACTAATTACATTAGTGCATAAATTCCCCAGTGAATACACAGCTGGAAAAACAATTTGAAATATGTATAAAATTGGGTTAAAGATATGTTTATAGGCGTTGCGTTTTAACATTTAGACCGTTTATCGAAAAATTGTTCGTTTTGTTTTTCCACATTTAAGATGGCTTATGTCCAAGGCCGAAACGTCTGTGGTTTCCTATATGTAAATAATAATTGTGACCATAAAATTTTAACTTTCGCTGTACCAGTTTATGTAATAATATTATAATTAACTGTATTAATTCAAAGAGCCATATTTATAATCTAAATGTATGATAATTTATACTTATTTAACAAAAATTTACCAAATTTACAAAATTTCTACGTTTTACAATTAGTAATCTGTCCATATGACAAAAATTATAGAATAAAAAAAAAAAACAGCTATTGAAAGAAACAGATAAATAAACTATTAATACTTGGAAGCTTCTCACTGTAAAGAATATTGTTTATGTGTTCTGAACAGGATGATTAAAAAATTATAAAATTTCTTCAAAAAAATTATCAATCTTTGAATTGTTATAAGTTTATAAAAGAGGTGTACTAACAAAATTGTACACCTCTTTTCATAAACTATTGAAGAATTGTTTTAAAAGGTTTTAACCTTTATCTTTGTAATTCGATTCTTCACAAAAATGTCTTCACACAATAATGCGACCTCAATATTTAATAAACAGTTTTAAAGATCAAATCCATTGTTCGATATTTATGCAAATTTATATAAAAATTTTTTACGATTCCATCGAATTGTTTGATATTGTAAAGTTTTTGAGATTTAAATCTTTCTTGAAATTTCCATCTTGTTTTCTAATCCAAAGAAATAATTTTCGAGAAAATGTAATTTATAGAAAATGCAGTAATTTAGCAATCGATTACTTTTATTGTCAATATTTAAGAAATCTTGCATGTTGCTATGATACTAATTTTGCAAATTTTTAAATATATTGTTAGACTTTGCTATAATAGGAGACATTGCTGCGTTATTTTATTTAAATACATGCAAAATGTATTATTACTTAAAATTCGTATTATCACATAATATTCTTATATATTTCATCTCCAATATTCAACAGAAAGATTTAGCGTTGATAGGAGATAAATAATGATTTCTTTAGTTAAATGTCAAACACATCGAGCATTATATGTGTTACATCTTCTTGACTTGTATTTTTCACACATTTTACTTTTCATTTATAAACAATTTTGCAGATATAGTACTGCTATCATACGTTAATACGATTATTGTTGCATATTTTGTATTTAAATAGAATTAAGTAGATTGTATATTTAATAATTTGAAACACATAATATTCAACCGGAAATTTTAACATAAGAAATTAAATATATCTTTAAATTGTAAGTTTACGTAAGTGTGGAAATTTACGTTTGCAATTGTTGACTTTATTATTATTCACTATAATTATTGTAGTTTTACGCGGCGGTTTTTTACACTGAAGATAATTTCTGTATTTGTACCTGATTTTATATTAGATTTATTAAAAATGTTGCTGGCATAGCATTTGCTTCATAGAATCAAAATGTTTAAGTATAGATTTTGCATTAGTCGAACGTATGATGGACACAACAAAAATTATTCAACGCACATACTGATGGACTTTGTAAATTATAATATTTACTGCAAAAAAAGTTTCCATTTACATTATTACGTACACTTGTCATTTTTATAACAGCGTAAAATGTGTCCGATGAACGATATGAATTTGGCCGCAAAGTGACCACGATTAGCCATGCGATAAAGTTACGTGCAGAAAGAACAACTAAATGTTTTGTGTAAAATTCCTAACGAATTATTGCAATTACGCAATGACAGTCGCACATGGCATGCAAAGAGCTTCTTCCGAGTCGCAGCGCGCACACGATCGGTTGCCAAGATTACTAAAAATGTTCGACGTACAGGACAATGAACACACTTTGCGAGATGCATGGAACGAGTGTTTCTCAAGTCGAGGCACCAAACATTCAATCTGTATGTCGCCGAAATGGATCAGTACATCGATCATCACTGTACAACTTTTGCAACTGCGAAAGCAAAGTAAAAAAAATAACGCGGATTACTCGATCGCAATGTTTTTACATTTGCGAAAACAGATACTTTTCAAATTCTCTATTAATTGAAATTTAATGCCGATAAAGGCCTCTTTTCGGCGATACAATTTTCACGGAGAGAACTATGACCGATGGGGGGGGGGGGGCTGCGATACGATAATCGCGTACACGGAGCTTGCCGTGATCAAGGCTATCTCAATTATGTGTTATTAGCTTGTGTTTACAGGTCACATTTTTTGACAAACGACAGCGGTTTTCGAGATTTGTTCTTTGACGACTGTTTCTCGAATATTCCATGAAGAAATATTTGTCGACATAATTATATGCAATGGGAATTTGCACGAGATACATGAAGTGCAACAATAATTTAACGCAATTTATAATATACGCTCTTTTCGGTGCGATCCGATTCATTTCAGAAATGATGGTCTCTAACATTCGGAATCCCGCTTTTTCTATTTCATCATAATATAAATATAAAGTCTAAAAAATTATGTAATGTTTATATTCTAAAAAATTTCACGTATCTTCGTAAAAGCATTTTTTGGAAAAATAATCAAAATAAAAATTTTTATAAACATAATAGTCACATAGAAATATATATGTTGTTAGATAAAAACCAGTAATTATAATTTTCAAAACTCACGAGTAAGAAGTTGCAAAATTGTAGCAATATTTGTCGAAAAATTAATCGCGATGAGAATTTGCACGGGACGCAGCAAATGATTTAATGATTTAATACTAAGGTTCCACTAAATAAACAATTAATATAAGAAGGAGAAAATGAAAAGAACCGTTGCTAGTTATCCGTGCAGTTTATTATATAATATTTTTTTCGAACACACACGTTCGGCTCAAAACAAGTATGTATTACGAATTATTGTATTTTTCAAAATTAGTATTATATATGCGTAATATTGTTACAGTGCCAACAATCGTTCAATAAGGATAAATTTGTTCGTTGAAATTACTTTTCATGATAAACATTTTATGTTTAACGTTTTATTTGTTTGTAAGGCGCATCAACACTTGTGAAACCGTTTGTTTTCATATTTTATTTGTAATGACACTGATGAAGGCCTCACATAGGCAGAAACGTTTGTTCTTGTAATTTGATTTTATAATATTGTATATTGCACGAATAACTAGTAACGGCTCTCCTTGCCATTTTTTCCTTATATTAATTTCTAATTAAGATTATTTGATTGATCTAATTTTAATCTTTAGTTTGTCAATTCAGTCTTTAAAATATAGTCTGATATGGACTTTCTTAAATGCAATACAAAAGCAATACAAACAATACAAAAATTTCTAAATGCAATACAAATCTCAACTCAATTCTTTTGTTGAGAAAAGATTGAATTATAATTTGATACATTTGTGTTTTTAAGCATTATTTGCAAATTTTATTTTCAAACTTACATTGATATCAAGAAACATAAAATATCTTGTGACGTAAGACATTTTGCAGCTTTATGTTAAGTATAAACTAAGTTTAAATATAACAATCGGCAATATTTTGATCATTAAATAAACGTTTATAAAAAATGCCAAATTTTGCCAATTTTAATGGTTTACTTATTTGAAGTGCGTATTGTCAAAATTATAACAAACAAATAAGTCACTTTTGGAAACTACAAAAAAACTTTATGCAACAAAAGTTAAAATTGCAGATAGTCTTGACTTACATTTTAAAAATATTATTTTTAGTATATATGCAAATAGAACTGAAAAATGTTTTCTATTAAGGTATGTTATTTTTTTCATTTTGCATGTATGTCTAAAAATGACAGATAATTAGTTGTAACAACTTCCCATGGGACACCCTGTATAACATTGCAGAGTAATTAGTAAAAATTGATCAATTATTATGCTGTCATTTATTCGCTTTCCTTTGCTTATGTTCAATCTACAATATCTACTTAATTTAAATTCCTTAACATAACTATTTAGAATTCCTTTTCTATCTATTTTTTTCTTATATTTTACTTTTTATCGAAAACTTTATAAAAACAGCTAAATAAAACAAACATAAAATCTGTATCAACGAATTTGTAATATTCTTAACAATATAGTTTTAATATAATATGTATTTATAAAATTATTAAAAAATCAAATTTTAAACCAAAAGTATATAAACTGCATAATATATTCAGATAATATGTTCTACGTATTATAAAAATAAATGCGCACTTTTATATTTCTGCAATTATTGTGATATATCAATTGTATTTATTGAAGTATTAATAAATTCGGCAAATTACGTGCATTTCTTACATGCAGTAATTTTTTAAGATAAAAATAATTAGATATGTAATATTTCTAAAACATTATTTGTTTAAAGGATAAGTTGTAACATGTTTTATACAGAGTTGTGTTATTGCTATGGAAATTGGACGTGAGATGCTACCGCGTCTCTTAGTATCTGCTAGATAGGCTTGACCGACGTATCAATATTTACATTCATATGAGAAACTATACCTTCTTTCGTTCCTTGTTTTCTTCTATCGAATTTTGGTAGAGAGACTCCTGTATATAAGGCTCGTATTCAGTTGTCTGCGTCTAATCAGTCGAAATACATTCAGTGTACAATGTCTGAAGTGAAGATAACTAAAGACAATGTGTGGGAACATTTTAAAGAACTTTCGGGACAGTTTTTTAAAGCAAAGTGTGAGATTTGCAAAAGTGATTTGATCTACGTCGATTTTACAACGATTGACCGTCATTTGCGTGAAAATCATTTCGATTATTTATTACACACAGTAGATAAAAAATTGAAAAAATTGAAAATGTATGACAATCTTCGTTTACAAAGTTCTGTTGGTGATAAAAACATTTCGTTTCAAGATAATGACTACATAAGGATATTGAAAAATATGGCAAATGCTGCAATTTTAAAAAATAAATCAGAATATTGCGCACAAGTTGATGTTTTTACAATAAAGTGTAAGATAGGGAATTGTGACTTTACTACAAATCTTCCTGTTTCATATAATATAAAACATCATTTTTTAACAGAGCTACATATGAGCAATTTGAGAGAAATGCAAACGGGCGCAATGTCTATGCCACCGACTATTGCAAATGAAAGAGAACAATTTATGGAAAAGTACGTAATATTGACGGACTTTCAAGCAATATGCGCAAAGCAATCATGCTTTGTTATGAATCGTTATATCGACCATAAAAAGTTTAATAAACATGTAAGTGAGATACATCCACAAGTTACTTCATACGAGAACAAAAACGGAGGAGAATATCCATGGATGCAATTCAAGTATCTGGACGAAATAAGATCACAATGTCTTCACTGTCCACTCGGCTTTGGTAATCCACCGTCTAAGGAGGATTGGTTAAGAGAGCATTTAGAGGGAGGATATCATAACGACATAAACCGTTATGTCCATAAGTCAAAAATAGGCAAGGAATGGGAATGGAAATACTGTACAAAGATTGAAGAGAGAGATTATCACGTGCGATGCGATATTTGCAGAAACGAAATAGAACTTGAACTTGTTAACTTAACAAATTTAAACCATCTTTGTGCATCTAAAGATACAGATCAAGATACAGAGCTGAACAAACCGACAAGTACGGAAAGTGCATGTGACGCAGCTGGAACATCAGGAATCCAACCAAAAAAGAAAAAACGTAAGTTTTATTGAAATTATTATTAATCCAATACTCGTACATATAATTAATTTTTTACTCTTATCAAGTTGCGTTTTAGCAGAACAAACCCAAACGATAATCAGACGATTAGTTTCACAAGCAAATATTTGTAAATGTTTATATATGTTTCTCCAAAGGTGAATAATGCTAACGGCGATCGCGACAGCTAGCACGACAACCAGCACAAAAGGCAATCTTTACTTGGTGATTGATGCAATCTATAACATGCAAAGAAAATAATGTAATTTGTAATTATTCGTTTTATGTTTATAAAATTATAAGTGTGTTCATAAATTTACGTATTACGAGAAATACAAAATTACATTTTTTTAAATTATTAAATATATTTGATATATTCAATATATTTGATATATTTTACTTATAGGATGTAATCTATTTTAAATTTTTAAATTATGCTTATCATTTTATAACATAAAACAATTTTATAAATTAACAATCTGTTCGATTCAGAGACATAATTTGTCAATAAGTTACCCAACACAAGCACAATATTTCAGTTTCATTCTCATTTCTTATATTTTTATGTGTATCTTGGTCGTACGTGTAGCCTTAACATTTATTGTACTTTACGTATATTAAATTTATTATGACTCCTTAATTATTATTATATTATATTAGAGGTTTCCGAACTATAATACTAATGTAATAATAATTATTGGTAAAATACGGATATGTCAGTTTAAATTTTCTAATTGTATTTGACCTATAGAAATGTGATAATGCTTTCAGTATAATAAAAAAATAAATTTATCTTTAACTTATTGCATGTTTTAACAGATTCAAGACGATTTTTTTATGCAATTGAAGAATATTCAATACAAACGCTTATTATATTATTTTATTTAGTAATTTTTTATTTGTTTGTTTAATAACGCAATCAGAAACTAACGCCTATCAGTTAATTTCGACAATCGTACAAGATTTCTCAAATGTTTGCAGCTATCGACAATCTGTAAAAACAAAGTATTATAACGACACATCGTTTTAATTATTATAATTCGAAATATAATTGTAGAAATTAAAACTTTTTGAACAACTTTTAAAAAAATTGTGTTTTAAAATTTATAATTATTATGATTAAGAATATAATCTGTAATCATGACACTTCATAAAACCTTAAAACAATGAGAGCATAATGTAAACAAATGTATAGAGAATGTATTAATTCTCCATAGTATTAGAAGTATCCATAAAATTGCGTCATTTTATTATTTTAACATTCCGCTTATGTAAAATTTTTTGGATTACTCACTCAATACTAAGAATGCTTGCATGGTGTTCAGTTTGCGGTACATAATTTTGTTTATAAAAGTAATACATTTTTTAATTTATAATAATTTTGTAGGATTAATGGTATCATTATAATTAAAGACTGAGTGTGGATGTTAATACAGCATGTGATAACAATTGTTGTACTAAAATATATATGCTTCAAAATATATATACATATAAAAGAATGACGCTTTATTTAATTATTCTATACAAATATTTAGTATGCTCCTATAGAATAAAAAAAACTTTTTCAAATAGAAAGAATTTAGGCTCACATATAAATTTATGTAACATTAAAAAAAAATAAAACTTTAATTTGCACGCAATTTAATTTTAAAAAAAGCATTTTTCTTGGTGTATTCATTTATAAATTTTCTATGTTATGTCTTTCGTTATAAGTTTTATAATTTGACGACGTACGTCTTTCGTTATAAAATATTATAATTTTCTTGATATATGAAATGTTTTGCAATGTAAAAATTATATACGTTATTTTTTTCTTCATATTCTATTAGTAACATTTTGCTCTGGATTAACACAAAAAGTTAAATTTTTTTTAAATTTAATTTTTGCGAAATACTTAATTATTGCCCTGTATAAGAAAGGCGGGATAAAATTTTTCAATTTAATCAAACGCTATCTGATTTAACAAATTGTTTCGTAACGGTAATGATTATCTAATATTGTAATCGTGTCATCTCTGCAGAGTAAGACTCGAATGGCACTTCGCCATTGCATACAGATTTTCAATTAAGAAGAAAAATTTGTTTCCTCTCCTTTAATACCGATAAAGACTTCTTTTTGACGATATAATTTTTACGAAGTGAACTGTAATGAGCTACGATACGATAATCGCGTACACGGAGCTTGCCGTGATCAAAGCTATCTTTTAAGCCAGTGTTATTAGTTTCTGTTTACAGGTCGCATTTCATGGTAAATTACAGTAATTTTCGAAATTTTTTGTTTGGCGATTCTCAAATATTTCATGAAAAAATATTTGTCGATACAATTATATGCAATTAGAATTTGCACGAGATGCATCAAATGCAACAACAATTTAACACGGTTAATAATATACGCTCTTTTCGATTCGATGCGTTTTATTATTTATTCGGAATTGTGCTTCTTTTATTTCATCATAATATAAATATAAAAGCAAAGAAATTGTGTAATATTTTTAAAAATTGTAAGTTTTGTGAAAAGCGATTTTTAGAAAAATAATCAAAATAAAAATTTTTTTTATCACGGTTGTCACATAAAAATGTAAATGCTGTTAGAAACCAGTAATTTTGATTTTCATCAATACGAGAAAACAGAGTTGTAAAATTGTGATAATATTTGTCTAAATAATTGTACTCCATGAGCATTTGCACGATACGCAACAAGTGATTCAATGCGTTGCTGTACCCTCTTTACGATGCCGATGCGATTTATTTCAGAATTGAAAGCTCTCATATTTAAAACCGTATGTTTATTTTGGAGTAACACAAAGATGAATACATAATAATTTAAGAAGATTGATATTCAAATAAATCTTGCAAATTTTGCATAAAATTTAGTTTAGATAAAGACCAACCTTTTTCGGGATAATTCCTGCAAATTCCGAAATTTGATTCAAAACATTTATTAGTCAAACCATTCATTAAAGACACAAAATTGCAAAAAAAAATTAAAATTAAATTTTTCAGGACAAGATACACTGCAATAAAAGTTATTTGATTGATGTAATTTGAATCTTCGGTTTGTAAATTTAGCTTATAAAATATAGATATGGACTGTAAAGGCAGGCGTATTAACAAGAACAATTGTGTTTGTTTTACACAATATATATTTAGATTAGGACTTAATAGTCGTTACAAGAATGAATAAAGACAAAAGTATAACATTCTCAAGCCGAGACAAAAAACAGAGAAAAACCAAAACGGTAGTAGTGGCGCAACTTTTATATATATACTAAAGTGTGGAAAAAAAGAAGGGAACGCCCCACTTCGGAATAGAGTAACATTTTACAGAAAGCGCTTCTCGCGCTTTGACCGGCAATATAAATGCAGGAATAAACATCTTCATGGACTTACCTAAATGCAAATCAAAAATCTTTCGTTCAGAAAAAATTGAATTACGATTCCGTATATTTGTGTTCTTAAGCATCATTTGGAAGTGTAATACAGAAATTATAGTACGGGGTGTTCAATGCAAAGTAGCTGAAACTAATCAGCTGTCATTTTTAAACGCACATTGGGAGAAAAGAAAATAAAATCTTTAGTAACATAGAACATTTTACAGTTTTGTGTATATGTAAACTAAAATCAATCAGAAATATTTTTATTATTAAATAAATGTTTATAAAGAATGGCAAATTTTGATGGTTTATCAGTGCTCATTATTAGATGCAATTTTTTAGCTGATTACTGAGCGCACTATCTACTTGTATTTTAATGACGATTTGACGGAAGGAACAATCTTAGCATATTTCTCATTGAAGGACACTATTTAGGCATAACAGACGCGCAATCGGCGATTCGGCCATGAAGCCTCGTGCGTAAGTGGGGAAATAGTAGGTGTTGACAGAAATCAGCTTGAATGTTGCATCTAATTCCGAGCAGTGATGTAAATTTTCGAAGTGCGCACCATCAGAATTGTAACAAAAGATTAAGTAAATGTTTGAAAAAAAACTTTATAAAACAAAAGTTGAACTTACAGATATAGTTTCAACTTAATTTTTATTATAATTCTGACGGTACGCACTTCGAAAATATATACCGAAAAAATTATCGATATTTGACATTTCTAAGTAAACGTTTACTCAATGGTAAAAATATTGTTTTTAGTTTATATGCAAATAAAACTGCAAAATGTCCTCTGTTACAATAAATTACTTTTTTGTTTCCCATGTGTGTTTTAAAATAACAGCTAATTATTTTCAACAACTTCTCATGGGACACCCTGTACAACATTGTAGATTTATTAATAAAAATTTATAAATCACTATGTAGCCATTTATGCGCTATTTTTTGCTTCTGTTCAATTTACAATATCGATTTAATTAAAATTTCTTGAAATTTTTTAAATACTATTTAATATTTTTTTTCTGTGTATTTCTATCTTAAATTTTTACTTCTTATTAAAAACATTAAACAGTAAAATAAAAGAAAACAAAATATGTTTCAATAAATTCGTAATATTCTTAGCAATATATCTTTAACAAAATAATTGTAAATTTATTTTAAAAAAACAAATTATAAGCCAAGAAATATATGAACATACTGTACAATTTATGTGGACAATATATATTACGTATTATGAAAATAAATGCGCATTATTATATTTCTGCAATCATTCTATATCAATTGCATTTATTGCAGTATTAATAAATACTGTAAATTACGCGTAGTTCTTTGATATAATAATTATTTAAGATACAAATAATTAAATATATAATATTTCTTAAAATATTATTAGTTCAAAGAATAAGTTGTAATATGTCTAGCACAGTGGACGTGAGATGTCTCCGCGTATATTGATAACTGTTGAATAAACCTGACCGACGTATCAATATTTACAATCAAATGAAAAAACATACTTTGTATTTTTCCTTGTAGTTTTCTTCCAACTTTTGGATAGAAAGGCTCTTATATCGTATTCAGTCATCTGCGTCTAGTCAGTTGAAACAGACACAATGTCACAAGTGAATATAATTGACGACAACGTGTTGTATTATTATGAAAGAATTTTGGAGCAGGGTTTTCAAGCAAAGTGTAAGGCTTGCAAATTAAGTATCGTCTACATCAATTTTCAACGCTTTACGGAGCATTTACAAATATCGCATTATGAATATTTCATATCCCTGGCAGACAGACTGAGAGAAATGCCGGAGATATTTTATGACAATATTAATTTACAATGTCGTATTTGTTTTAAATCTCTTCTTCCTCAAGATTATGTTAATCACAGGCATTCTACGATCGAAGTTGCATATTATGAAACAACCCAAAATAAAAAAGAATACTATAC